AAGATCTTGGTCAAGGCCCTAGCAATCTCCTCTCTCGCCTCTCTCAATAACCTGGGGTAGATACCATGTGGCCCTGGGGACTTACCCAAGTTAATGCTCTTCGAGAAACCCAGCACCACTTCTTTCTTGATTTTGAAATGCCATAGCATATTAGCATGCTGCACACTAATCTCACTATCCTCCATATCCTTCTCTTTGGTGAATACCAATGCAAAGTACTCATTTAGGATCTTGCCCACATCTTCATTTTTGCATGGTCTTACCTTCTACCTTGTTATCCTCTTATTTTTAATGTATTGAATACCTTGGGATTCTCTTTAACCCTGCTTGCCCGTGGTCATTTCATGGCCCCTTCTGCTCTCCTAATTCCCTGCTTGAGGGAATTTTTTTCCTTTCTTTCCTACTTTCTTTATATTCCTCACTGGCCCTGTCTGATTTTAGCTTCCTAAACCTTACATATCCTTCTTTTTCTGCTTTTGACTAAATTCACAACCTTCCCAGTATCTAAGGTTCCCTTACCTTGCCATCCTTGTCCTTCCTATTACTGAAACATGCCAGTCCTGAACTCTTATCAGCACATCTTTAAACAATTCCCACATGTCAAATGTGAACTTGCTTGATAACAGCTCCTTTCAATTAACACTCCCTAGCTCCTGCCTAATAGTGACATAATTTGCCCTCCCCTAATTTAGTGCTTTCCCACAAGGTCCTGAATTATCCTTATTCATAGTTATCTCAAAACTTGAGGAGTTGTGATCACTCAGAGATAGCAAGAACTGCAGATGCTGGAGTCAGAGACAACACAGTGTGGAGCTGGAGAAACACAGCAGGCCAGGCAGTATCAGAGGAGCAGGAAAGTTGACGTTTTGGATCGGGACCCTTCTTCTGTTTCTGTGATCACTGTTTTCAAAATGCTCTCCCACTGAAAGGTCAGTCACTTGGCCAAGTTCATTAGCCAATATTCGTATTGTATACTTGTCCAGTATGGCTCCTCCTCTAGTTGGACTATCCACATACAGTTTCAAGAAATCCTCTTGGATGCACTTAACAAATTCTGGGCTGTCTAAGCCTCTTGCTTTAAAAGAGGGAAGCTTTCTTCCACTCTTTTGACGGCACATTCAATGACAAGTATTTCTAGATCGTCAATTCCAAGCAGATATCACAGCAAGATCGAATAGAGTCACTCTGCTCACAAGCATCTATATGTCATCGTTCTTTCATCATGCAAGGTAAAACGTTTGTCTGTTGGTCTGTGCAAAAAGATTTCCGAGATTAGTGTCACTGGAAAAATGTCAGTGGTCTGGGCACCTCACCTGAGGAGAGACTGGGGAGCAGTGCGAATTTATTCCATTGATTCCCGGATTATATTATGAGCAGATGCTGCAAAAGTCAACCTTGTATTCATTATGGCACAGAAAGAAGTAATATGGCCTGTTTTATCAATACCAACTGGCTGTAAAGCAATGCAGTCTAATTCCCTTGTGCCCTCCCCACAGCTCTGCAAGTTTATTTCCCTTAAATGCTTGTCTAATTTCCTTTTGTTAAGTCATTGATTCTCTTCATTTCCACCCATAAGCAGCAAGTCCTGGGTAGTGCCACTCAATTGAAAAGAAAGCTTTATTCCCCCTGTCTCTCTTGCCTGTCTTGTAAATGGTTGGGTCTAATACACTACCCAACCTTTTAGACTTCATATAAATCACTTAACGAGGGGATTGAAGGCATGGTAATGAAAGATGGATAGGAAACTATGTTATGGTGAAGATGTAAGGAGATTACAGACCAACATAGGTAGATTTACTGAATAGGCAATATATCTTGCAAATGGAGTATAATGTGGGAAAATGTGAAGTCATTCACTTTGGCAGAATAAATAAAAGCAGAATATTCCTTAAATGGAGAATGACTGCAGAATTCTGAAGTGCAGAGGAATTTAAAACATGAGCCACAGAGAATTAGTTTGCAGATGCAGTATGTTATCAAGAAAGCTTATTGGGCTGCTACCCTTTGTTATGACAGGAATTGAACATAAATGTTAAGGATGTTCTGCTTCATTTATGCAGGTAATTGGTGAGATCACATCTCAAATACTGTATGCTGATTTCATCATCTTCTTCTTTCAGGAAGTGTGTAAATTTAGTGGAGTGATTGAGAGGAGGTTTACTAGATTGATACCTGGAAAAGTTGACTGTGACAGTGAACCCAGGAAGCATCATCAGGGGAGGAGATTTGGGGTAAAAAGCAAGGAGATCATCGGATGAATTGGCGTCCCAAACTTCGATAAGGAGGGAGTATGTTGGATATAGTAACCTATATTTTTAAACCAAGTATGTTCACACCATTCAGTATAATGTGTTCTGAATGTCTGTCATGTACATACAATACCTTTTGAGAAACCATATTCTTCTTGAGCAGTCAGTGAGGATTGAAGATGACTTTCTTCCATTCCAGTGTTATGGGTCCTGAGGTTATTAAATAGTCCACAAGCACTGCCACAGGTGGGTGCTCAGATTTTCATGTGTTTTTTCCATTGTTAATGTCTGTTTTCCATCTTGCCTGTTGGAAATCCTCAAAATTATTGACTTCTTCACAGATGCCACTTCTCCAAAGTGGATGGAATTAGGCCAATGATTGCCCTGAGTGAATGGAGATATTGCACTTTTTGTTTCAGAGAAAACATGGAGACATACTGAATGTATTTCTGTGCCAACCTGGAAATCTCTTACCATGAGGATGCTTGTTCAGATTAGGGAGCTTATTTTGGAGGTCTTGTGATGATGTGAACTGCCCAATGCAGCTTATTTATCATAACCAGTGCCTCAGCTCAAAAATTCTTTGGCTTGATCTGCACTTTTTATAACATTTTATAAGGGTGAGGTATGGAGTAAAATAGATACCAATGCCAAATCAATAACCCACAAGGACACCCGATAACCATGAATAAAAATAATTTCTCTCATGAAGATAGAATTTTGTGACAATGAAATGCGATCAGTGCTTTTAAAGTCTAGAAAGGGATTGTATTGAATTACTGATTCCCAAAGTTTCCTAACGTGACCCTTTTAATACCTCAGAATCTGTGTCACCCAAAACAGTGGCTCAGTGGTCAGCACTGTTGCCTTACAGCGCTGGGGACTTGGGTTTGACTCCACCCTGAAGTGACTGGCTGTGTGGAGTTTGCATGTTCTCCCCGTGTCTGTGTGGGTTTCCACTGAGTACTCAGGTTTCCTCCCATAGTCCAAAGATGTGCAGGCTAAGTAGATTAGCCATGCTAAATTGCCCAAGTGTTAAGGGATATGTAGATTAGGTGGGTTACAGGGAAAGGGTAGGGGGATGGGTCTGGGTGGGATGCTCTGACAGTCAGTGTGGACTTGATGGACTTGATCCACTATAGGGATTCTATGATAAAAGTAATTTTTTTTGGGAGGGAACTGAGAATTACTGATCAGTGGGGAAGGGGAGGCAGGTGGGATGTTAATCACAGATTATTAATGTACTTGGACCTTGATTATTAATGCAATAACATCCAGTTTATTCATCATTTACAATCAGCAATGAACATAACAGAATCCTGATTATTGGTGTTATAGGGCTATAATTATTAATTGTAATAATTTCGTTATTCTACATATTAGTAGTGATTATTGGTAAAATGATTTCCCAATTATTGAAGGAAGAAACAACTGATTATAAATGAAACTGTGTAAATAATTAAATACTGATTCATCGTAAACCCATACAATAGAATTTTAAGACCAAGAAGGTTACCATTTGGCCCATTGCGCTGGTACTGTCTCTGAAAATGCTGACAAGTGTCCCACTCCCCTCCTTTTCCTTAAATGGTCTATCCTTTATTCTGAGATAAAGTCCCCTGGTTCTTAAACTAAACAGCCAGGGGAGAGATCCAGTCTACATCCACCCAGTAAGAACCTTGTAAGTTTTGATGAGATCATTGATCATTCTCCAAATTTTATGATCCCAGTGATGGTAATACTGTACAAGTTAGATTTCTGAATGAAACCTGGCTCGATAGATCATAAGTTTTATTTTTGCAATTAAGTTAGGATGATGGTTAATTACTGAACATACTCACACGAGGCTGTCAATGTTCTTTTAATAAAACAACACAAGTTTATTGCACAAAATAAAAAAAGGCTCTGTATGGATATGACAACTTTGAAAGACCTTAACACAAATGGCAATTCAAACCATTTTCCCAGCAACATCCTTTGCAAATACCCAATCTCAGTGAAGTATCACTCCTCTCATTTTTAAAATCTGTTCATGGGATATGGGTGTTGCTGGCTTGCCAGGCATTTATTGCCCAACTTTAACTGCCTGGGAGAAGATGGTGGTGTGATGCCTTCCTGAATGTTTGCACTCCTCAGGATGTTGGGGCACCCCCCACACTACCATTCTATTACTTTCAAACATGATTAAAGATTCCACAATATTAATGTCACTATCCAACAAAGGTTCCTTCACAGCAAGGTTATTAATTTACCCTTTCTCTTTACAGAATACTAAACCTAAAACAAGCTGATTCCTACTTGGTCCTTCAATGGTCTACTTCAGAAATGTTCAGCACAAACTCCAAATTTCATCTTCCACAGCACGCGTGCTGGCTAGGTTCACTCAAGTTTATACGGGAATTAAAGTTACCCATTATTACTGTATCACCCATATTAGATATACATCTGGTTTTCTGATTTATATTCATAAAGTAGTATTTGGGATATGAAGTAGATCCAGCAAGCTGTGATTTTAATGCGAAGTCCAAAAACTTATCCTTACACACTGTATTAGCACCTAAAGCTAGGCTGGATGTTTTAACATGCTTATGATTGCAATGTGATTAACAGCAAATTACAGCTCCTGAAATCACTCGTGGACTTGCTGCTATCTCCACAGGTGTGCCATGAGGTGGGAATTCTGAGTGAATCTGAGTTGTGATAACCATCTGAACCCAGTCCCATACAGAGTGCACCTGAGCGATCTCTCACTGGTGTGAACACTGTTGATGTAGCGTCAGTTCCCCAGAATTTTTAAAACACTTCCCACAGTCTGGGCATATAAAAGGCTTCTCATCAGAGTGAACACGTTGATGGCGTATCAGGTCCCAGGATCTTATATAGCACTTCCCACAGTCTGTGCATTTAAAAGGTCTTTCCCCAGTGTGAACTCGCTGGTGTGTCATGAGGTGGATTTTCTGAGTAAATCCCTTCCCACATTCAGAGCAAGTGAATGGCCTCTCTCCAGTGTGAGTGCGCTGGTGTGCAGTGAGACGAGACGACCACTTGAACCCAATCCCACAGTGAGAGCACCTGAATGGTCTATCGTCTGTGTGAACACGTTGGTGTAACTTCAGTTCTCCAGAGCTTTTATAACACTTCACACAGTCCGGACATTTGAAGGGTCTTTCCTCAGTGTGAATTCGCTGGTGTGCCTTGAGGTGGGATGACTCACGAAATCCCTTCCCACACTGTGTGCAGGTGAATGGCCTCCCCCCAGAATGAACTCGCTGGTGTGTCAACAGGGTGGAAAACCGAATGAATACCTGCCCACATTCAGAGCAGATGAATGACCTCTCTCCAGTGTGAAGACGCTGGTGTATAGTGAGTTGGGACGATCGTTTGAACCCATTCCCACAGTGACAGCACCTGAATGGTCTCTCATCAGTGTGAACTCGTTGATGGACGATCAGCTCCCTGGAACCTTTAAAGCACTTCTCGCACTCGGAACATTTAAAAGGTCTCTCCTCAGTGTGAACACGTTGATGAGATTGCAGATAGCTAGAACTTTTAAAGCACTTCTTGCAGTTTGGGCATTTAAAAGGCCTCTCCTCACTATGAACCTGCTGGTGTGCCTTGAGATGATATGACTGAGTGAATCCAGTTCCACATTCAGAGCAGATGAATGGCCTCTCCCCAGTGTGGATGCGCTGGTGAACAGTAAGTTGAGATGACCACTTAAAGCCACTTCCACAGTCAGAGCATCTGAACCGTCTGTCCTCAGTATGTACACGCCGATGGGACATCAGCTCACTGGAACTTTTAAAGCACTTCCCACAGTCTGAGCATTTAAAAGGTCTTTCCTCAGTGTGAACTCGCTGGTGTGTCAGCAGGGTGGAAAATTGAGTGAATCCCTTTCCACACTTGAAGCAGATGAATGGCCTCTCTCCGGTGTGAATACGTTGGTGAATTTTCAGCGCAGAGCGGTGACTGAAACCTTTCTCACAGTCCCTGCATTTCCATGGTTTCTCCCCAGTGGGACTACATTTGTGGTTCTCAAGGCCAGTAGCTTGGCTGAAGCCTTTTTTGCACACAGAACACGAGTATCTGTTTTTTTCATTGTGAACAGTGCTTTGTCCTTCCATGTTTAAAATCTGTTGATATTCTGGTTGTGATAAATTAGGTGACTCCATTAGGACATGATGTAATGTTTGGTTTAAGTATCCTCACTTCAAATCATTCACTTTGCATACCCTGTGAAATTGATTTAAAACATAAGAAAGGAATGAGAATGAAGACACAAAAACATACAGGCAGTCTGGAAACTTGTACAGTGTGAATTTGGTAAATTGCTGGCTGGCACTTGGGAAAAATTACCATGAGTGATGCTGGACTGTCATCGAAGCTTAACCGTGTCCAAAACTAATGTCAATCAGGGAAGCAATCTGTTACCTAGTCTAGGCTTACACTATGCTGTAGAACCTACATGGATCAGGCTGTGAGACAAAAGAAAGGGCAGGGGAAAGGGGGGGAGGAAATAGGAGAGGCAGGGGGGAAAGGAGAGGGACTTTATACATCTGCAACTTATCCAGAAATTTGACAGGATCTCCAAATCCTCAAATCTCTACCAGTTTAAAGGATCAGACTAGCAGATCGATGTGAAAATTATCACCTCAGAGACACACCATCCTGAACTGTCTGACATCCAGCACTGTAGGAACAAAGACTTCCTTCGACTAAAGGATGAAAGTCAGTGCCTTCAATCCAGTTACAAACTCCATTCCCCAGCCACTGAAGGGAGACTGTTCAGATCTTTGGTACCATATTTCACCCCAAACTGAGGTTCCAACCACATGTCCACCTCAGTAAAACCGCCTATTTCCACCTCAGTGACATCACCCGACTCCGTCCAGTCTCAAGCTCATCTGCTTCTAAAACTCTCCAAAGCTGCGGCTGTAAAAACCTGGGCCTCTTCCCGGGATAAAGACCCAGATTTCCTAACAAGGGGCCTGGAAGGTCTTATTTAGAGTTTGCGGTCTACACGAGCTCTTTATGAGGACTCCCCGCTCCTCTCTCTCAATCACGCTCCTACACACCAGCTCCCCTTTCTCTCGGCGATCGCAGCCGCTGAAGAAAATGGTTCCGAGCCCCTCTCAGCCCTGAGCAAAATGACAGTGCGCAGGCTCCGCTACAATCCACACTGCGCATGCTGCGAAGCCCCTTGCTGGGTTAACAGGGCATATTCACTTCTTCAAGCATAACAGGACTATCATTAACACTCGCTATAGGCACTTGAAACGGTCTTACTCGATTTCCGTAAATTAACTGGAAAATGGCTAAATTATCGTATTAATGGTATCGTATAATACTCAAAGTCTCATCAATTTCTTAGAAAGATCTAATGCTCCACTGTCAAGTGCAACGATCGAAGATTATTAAACTTTCATTTCTTTTTCTGACCAGTACACGCAACTCCCGCCCATTCGTCTACAGCAAATTACTGCAGATTCTGGAATCTGTACTGCAAACAAAAAAAAATCACAGCGGGTCGGTAAGCGTTTATGGAGAGAGAGACATGAGTCTAGATAACTCTACATCACAGTTGACGTGAAGTATGCATTTATATAATGGTTGAGGTGGAGGAGTGCTCGGGGGGGCGGGGGAGAAAGGGTTTTGGTAGAGCAGATTAAGTGATCGGAATGCGAGAATGGCAAAACATTGGTGTGCCTAACTGCGAAACGGGAGAGGACAGACAGTCCCATTCGGGTAGAGGTAGGGGTAGGGGTGGGGGTAGAAAGAAAGGGGAGGAATGCGAGTGGGTTCACAATCTAAAGGTGTTGAACTCTAATATTAAGTCTGGAAGGTTGTAAAGTGCCTAGTCTGAAGAAGAGATGTTGTTCCTCCTGTTTGGCCTGTGAGGACAGACAAGTGGGCAAGTGTGTTAAGCAAGTGTGTTAAGATGACCAGCTACATGGGGTCATGCTTACCCATGGACTAGGTGTTCTGCAAAGCAGTCACCCAGCCTACGTTTGGTTTCTGCAATGTACAGTAGGCCACATTGAGTACAGCAAATGTAACACACAAGATTGGAGAAGGTACAGGTGAAATGCTGCTTCACCTGGAAAGATTGTTCAGGCCCTTGGAAGGTGAGCAGGGAGGTGGTGAAGGGGAAGGTGTTGCACCTTCTGCCATTACATGGAAAGGTTTTATGGGAAGGGCGTTTGACGCTGGTGGGTCAAGAAATGGCCTAGGGTATCCCAGAGGGAACAGTCCCTGCAAAATGCAGCTGGGGAAAGTGAGGGGAAGATGTATTCTGTTGGAGTTGTCTGAAATGGCAGCGAACAATTCTTTGAATGTGGAGGCTAGTAGGATGAAAAGTGAGGACAAGGGGTGGCCCAAACACACGTGAGTGATGGGTAGGGGAAAAGGCAGAAGCACGGTTGAACAATTTCTCCTCTAATTCATCTCACTTCTGCCAAGTCAAAGGAGTGGCTATGGGCACTCACATGGGTCCCAGCTATGCCTGCTTCTTTATGGGATGTGTGAAACAATCCTCATTCCAGTCCTACACTGGCCCCCTACCATAGACAGTACATCAATGACTGTTTCGGTGCCGCCGCATGCTCCCGTCTGGACCTTGAAAAATTTGTTCATTTTGCCTCCAATTTCCACTCTTCTGTAACTTTCACATGGTCCATCTCCAACACTTCCCTTCCTTTCCTTGACCTCTCTATCTCCATTTCAGGAAATGAACTATCCACTACAAAGCCACTGACTCCTGCAGCTACAGCTCTTCACACCCCATGTCCTGCAATGATTCCATCCCATTCTCCTAGTTCCCCCATTACATCGTATCTGTTCGGATGATGCCACCTTCCAAAACAGTGCTGCTGACACGGCTTTCTTCTTCCATAACCATGTTTCCGCCCACTGTGGTTGACAGGGCCCTCAACCGCATCCGATCTAACACCCGTGCTTTTGCCCTTGCCCCTTTCCATCACTTACAACAGTGTGATCGGGTCCCCCTTGTCCTCACTTTTCATCCCACCAGCCTCCACATTCGAAGGATCGTTCTCTGCCATTTCAGACAACTCCAGCAGAATGCCACCAACAAATTCACCTTTCCCTCACTCACCCTGTCCACATTTCGCAGGGACCATTCCCCCGGGGCACCCTAGTCCATTCCTTGACCACCAACACCACACCCCCTTCCCACAGCACCTTCCCATGTAACCGTAGAAGGTGCAACTCCTGCCCCTTCACCTCCTCCCTGCTCACCTTCCAAGGGCCTAAATAATCTTTCCAGGGGAAACAGCATTTCACCTGTACCTCCTCCAATCTGGTGAATTGCATTCGCTGCACCCAATGTGGCCTACTCGACATTGGAGAAACCAAACTCAGGCTGGTGACTACTTTGCAGAACACCTCCAAGTCCATGCGCAAGCGTGACCCTGATCTTCCCATAGCCAGTCATTTTAACACAGCATCCTGCTCGCATGCCCACTTGTCTGTCCTTGGCATTCAGCAATGCTCCAGCAAATCACAGCGCAAATTGGAGGAACATCTTGAGACTAGGCGCTTTACAATCTTCTGCACTTAATATTGAGTTTAACACCTTCGGATTGTGAACAGACTCCCATTTCTTCCCTTTCTTTTAGCTTTACTTATGTTCTCTGTCACCATGACCTCTCTTCCCTCCCCACACTTCAGTGGGACTGTCTGTTCTTTCCAGTTGGGCACCTGGACACACCATTGTTCTGCTATTTGCACATTTCAATCACTTAATCTGCACTTTCAGCAGCCTCTCTCCCCCAGGAGTCTACCCTCCCCCCCAACCATTGCATAAATGCTGCCCTCACCACAATTCATGTCAGCTTGATGAAGACTCATCTAGATTCGAAACATTAGTATTCTCTCCATTCATGCTGCCGGCCCACTGTGACTTCCAGCATTTTTCATTTTCATTTTCACTATTTGTCCAGAGCTGCTGACAATCACCTGGGCACCAAGGAGAGAGCATGCATTACTCGGCAGCTGTGCGCAGCACGGGTAGTATTTCATGCATGCACAGTATTGATGTGGAATCAGTATTGTCAAGGGGGAAGAGAGAAGTTATTAATGGGTAGCGTGGTGGCTCAGTGGTTAGCATTGCTGCCTCAGAGCACCAGGGACCTGGGTTCAATTCCACTCCCGGGCAAGTGTCTGTGTGGAGTTTGCACATTCTCCCAGTGTCTGTGTGTGTTTCCTCCGGGTACTCTGGTTTCCTCCCACAGTCCAAAGATGTGCAGGTTAGGTGGATTGGCCATGCTAAATTGTCCGTAGTGTTCAGGGGTGTGTAAATTAGGTGGGTTATAAGGGGATGGGCCTGAGTGAGATGCTTCAAGGGTCGGTGTGGACTTGTTGGGCCGAAGGGCCTGTTTCCACACTTTAGGGATTCTATGATTCTAAGCATGAAACAGAGATATTGGCCAGGGAACGGGGTGCTGTGTTGAAGAGGAAGGCACCTGGAAGCTCAGGGTCATTTTTGCAGGTAGAACGTAGGTGTTCTGCGAAGCAGTCACTCAGTCTACGCTTTGTTCCCCAATGTGGAGGACACCACGTTGTGAGCAGCAAATGCAGTAGACTAGATTGTGTGAAGTACAGGTAAAGCACTTCTTCACCTGGAAGATGTATTTGGGCCCTTGGATACTGAGGAGGGAGGAGGTAAATGGGCAAGTGATACACCTTCGGAGATTGCAAGAGAAGGTGCCGTGTGCTGTTTGGGATCGGGAATGGGGGTAGGGAGGTGGGGTAAGTTGGCAGTGAAGGCAAAGTGGACCAGGGTGTCGCGGAGGGAACAGATCCTGCGGAAGGCAAGCAAGGGAGGGGAGGGGAATGTGTGCCTGGTGGTGGCATCTCACTGGAGGTAGCAGCTAATGATCTTCTGGATGTAGATGCTGGTGGCATGGTAGGTAAGGACAAAGGGAACCCTATTACTGTTGCGGGAGGGAAGAGAGGGGGTGAGGGCAGAAGTGCGGTAGATGAGTCAGACCTGGTTGAGGGCCCTGTCAACAAAGATGATGGGGAATCCTCGGTTGAGGAAGAAGGTGGACATCTCGGAGGCTCCCTTGTCAAAGTTGGCATTATCAGAACATTTGCGACAGAGATGGAGGAACTGGGAGAATGGAATGGTCTTTACAGGATGTAGGGTGTGAAGATGTATAGTCAAGGTAACTGTGGGAGTCGTGGGTTTACAGTGTATCCCCAGAAATAGAAACATAGGTGTCGAGGAAGGGAGGAGCCAGAGATGGACCAGGTGAAAGGGAGGGCAGGGTGGAAACTGGAAGCAAAACAAAAATCGATAAACCTTTCCAATTCCTAATGAAAGGGAAGCAGCACCGATGATATCATTGATATATCAGAGAAAGAGTTGTGGTTGGGGGCTGGAAAAGGACTGGATAAGGAAAGTTCCATGTACCCCACTCTTCATCAGAACTCCATTAACTCTGTTTTTATCCCCCACAAATGCTGCCAGACCTGCTGAGTTTCTCCAGCAATTTCTGTTTTTGTATATTGCCTAATGTTCTCATTATAGTAAAATAAATCAGATGCGTGTTAAATAAATTGCTTTGCTCTTTTTTCTTTTAAATATCAGATCAACAAGTTAATTTCTTTTGAAGGCCTCTCCCTGTTCCCTTCCTCCTCTATCCCCATTTCCAACAAGTGCAAGGAGCTCATGCATTTGTTTGTCAATGAGTTTGGATTGTCTCAATCAGCTGCTTCTTTTCCTTTCACGAGCTCACTGGGCCAAACAGTATCTAAAATTCTTCTTTGTCTGAGCCCCAGACTTGGATCTTACTTCAGTGTCCGCCCGACCTCTCATCATGACCTCTGAGCTCACGCTGACCATGAGACCCTCCTCCAGTGAGATTGAAACTAGTCAAACTGAATTTCTGAGCAGTCAGTTTCCCCATGCTGTAAATGGTGATTTCTTCGGGTACTGATTCTTCTTTAAATCCACCATCACATCAACCTAAAAGAAAAAAAGTCTTTAACCCTTCCTTGCAAACTACTGCCCCATCTCCAACCTCTCTTTCTTTCCTTGTTAAAAAAAGTCACCTCTAAAACGGCCTTTATAATCTTCAGGGTTCAACCACGTCAGGAAGTTGTGGGAGAACTTCAAAGAGAAATTAGGAAATCTGCGTCACATCGGAATAC